TGCGTGTATCCGCGTGTACCCGCGTACGTGGGGGGGGGGGGGGGGGGGGGGGGGGGGGGGGGGGGGGGGGGGGGGGGGGGGGGTTTTTTTTGTATCCGCAGTGACGCCGCGTGTACGTGCGTGTATGCTGCGTGTACGTGCGTGTACGCCAGTGGCAACCGCGGCTGCAACCGCAAGTTACGATTCACGTGACTCGCTCGAACCTGCTGCTATTGGTCGTTACATACGAGTCGGTGTGGACCTTGACACAGCCACTCGCACACCTGTGCAATCTGCCACACGTGAAGAAAAATATCAGAAAACACGTGTGATATTTCCACACGCAAAATCGATGCGTTTGCATGGCGCACAACGCTGTGTGTTGTGTGCTGCGACCATAGTTTTGTGCTGCGCCATCAGCCACGCGTGGCCGATGGCGCAGCACAAAACACAGCGTGTGCGGCAGGCTTACATTTTTCTGGTTTAATAAGCTGCCGAATGCCACTTAGGGGTGTTTGGGGTACCTCCCCAGATAAAAGATTTTTTTTAAATTGGTGCATTCTGAGAGCATCTGAGCAGTAATTTTGATGTCTAGAATGCAAGATGGAATTCTAAATTTTAAGCAGAAAATTATCTTTTAATTTTTAGGGCATTTTGAAATTAAAAGGGGGGTCCGGACCCCCCGGACACCCCCCCCCCATAGATCCGCTCCTGCCTGACCTTGGCCCTACTAGAATAGAACACATCAAGAGCACATTAAAAGCCCAAGAGGGGTTAATGGGCTCTTGAACACATGCACTAATCGTCTATGCCTATGGTGTTGCCGGAGTGGGGCATAGGGGGCATATCTTTTCGTGTATATTATTTATGTAGGGCCTATATGTTGTTTCGTGTATATTGTAAAAATTCTTTTTAACATAATTTGTTTGTAACCATTTTGTTTGAAAATGATGTGCAGGCACGTGCCTTTTTGCCTAAAGGCAGCTGCAGCTACGCGCCTGCTGGCAGATGTACCTTCCTCTTCCTCGCGTTCTGCTGCTGTGGCAATCTCGTGGTTGCTACGCAACAGCAGTGATTATTGCGCGGGAGCCGCGACGTGCACACATTGAGGAATTTGAGGTCATTGTGTAGCGCAGAACGGAAGATACATGTCGCGTGCATTTGTTCTGTAGCAGAACGCGGTGCGTTTTACATGTAGGGCCTATGTATATCGTTGTCACTCGATGGAAGCGTTCTTCTGAAGTTCTCTCGAGATAGCGTCAGTATCCGGTTGTTCAACAGTAGTCAGTAAAGCGTAAGTTATCTATCGATACCGCCGATATCGTAGCCCGACCAGGCTGTGCGACGGATAGCTCCAAGAAACGGTATTGCTAGGGTTAGAATATTATACTATAAACAATCCGTATAGTATATAGAATATAGAATATAGAAAATAGAATATAGT